AAATCATCTAATGTTGCAAAACACGCTAACATAGAAAACCACACATTCGATTTTACAGGATCTGAAACCTTATCCCTCGAATCGAATTGGAGAAGAAGAACGATTAAAGAAAGTCTATTCACTCATCAAATGCAACATAAGTCCTTAAATGACGTAAAATTTAAATTAAATATTTTTGGATAAAACAATTAAAATTGCCTCTTGGCATGTTTTGGGGGCCCGGATATGTTCTACGAACATAATAATTCGCGAATTATTATTCATCAATCTTCTCTCAATTAATCTATCAATTAACATAAGTTCTATATATGTAGCGTTTTTTTTTGTCTTTTGTTATTCCTGAAGATGATAAGAGTATCTTATCGAAAGCTTGAATAAAATAATATATGATTTTTGTTTAAAATCTACTATGATATTCGTAGCAGCTCTTTACTCACTATTTACTAAGGCATATCATAATGAGTATAAACTGATTCGGACATATTTACTTGGTGTTTGTAATGATAAACCCGCTAATAGTTTAGTTCAAAATGCGCCTGAACCCATTGCGAAATTTGGTTGTACTATATGCGAAATAGCCGGTATACATGTTGTTAATATTTGATGAAAGGTGCTCATATTCAATTACATTTGCTTTCATTTTAGGGGAAATTGTACTGTCAAATTCAGATGAACAAATATTACATAATAAAACATCCTCAACAAATAAAAAAAAACGAATAGATACGCACAAAATTCGTGTTTTTCCTACAAATGAAGATGATCAAATACAGATGCGTTCTACAGTTAGATGTGAACTAATTCTTGATCAATTAGCGAAAGCACAGCATCATGATTATCCTGTAACAAATGAAGAAAAATCAAATTTACAATTAGGTTATCTTGGAAAATGTCTTTTAACAGAACTATCTTACTTTGATCATGGACATTCATTCTTGATGGACACATTGCATACAATCTACCATGGTGCATTTGTAAGTACTCATCTTCCATCAAGAGTTGTGTTATAAGTAGAATACAATCATTAAATTATCTTTATGTCAATTGAATATCCTTCTAGACGTTCATCTCTTGATTTATGTTTTATCTGAATCCTTTTAGAAAAGACTTCTTAAATTATGGTTTCATTCGAAATATCGGACCCAACAGTGGTCCATTCGTCAACATTTAAACCATATTGAAACTGAATTGCAACAATTTCGTTTTCCATCAACAACAACGAGAATACCTCGAACAATTATGAAATATCATCGATTAAAAGCAAATGAATTACGTGTACTTTTATTAATAACATATCCGATATTTAAAAATTATTTAAAACCAATATATTATAAACATTTGCAACTGTTGTCATTTGCATTACACATTGGTGAATCAAGAGAAATTACTTCGTCGAAACTGAATGAAATGAAAATTCTGTTAGATAAATTTGTTTTTACATTTCATTTTTTGTATGGTAAACGTCATGTTGTTAATACAGTTCATTCAGTCGTACATTTTCATCAAACAGTCAAATATTATGGACCACTAACAAATTATAGCACGTTTAACTATGAATCATTGATTGGTAATCTTAGTTTGTAGTTAATAAATAACTTCGCTATTGTTCTTATGTTAGGTCATCTTGCAACAACAATTAATGGAACAAAACATTTACCACGTGAAATCGAAAATAACATAGAATTAATTAAAAATTCGTCATTTTTAGGTGATACGTATTGTATATCCTCATCATTATATCCATTAATATCACAAATTCAAGGTTATAAAACAAAACTATCAGTAACATCAAATAATTATCAATTACAAAAACCAACATCAAATATTGATAAGAACGACAAGCACGAACTATTCTTAAAATTTGGCAAAGAATTATCATCATATAATAAATGCAATATAAAAGGTGTTACATTTACAACCTTACATTATTCAAAATCGAAACAATTTCAAGACTGTGCTGTTCTTTATAGACGTGAAAACGTACATTGTTTTGGTCTTATTAATAAAATTATATTAATAACAACATCAAATAATGTATTGTTGCAAATTTATCCTTTACATAATAACAGAAAAGATGAGATATTATTGAATTTTAATACACAAAAAATTTTGTGCGATCATGTTGAATTTGGAACAATTGATTTTGATCATCATATTCATATTAATTTAGATGATGTTATTGAAAAAGTATGCTACTATCAATTCGAAACAAAATTTATTTTCATTCGGTATCCAACGCTGACTGAGTCTAGCTAGAGAACATATTACTACTTATCTTCAATTGTTAGTTTTTTTGATTAAATACATGCTTTTTTTCTATGTTATTCGACTATTTTTTTGTCTTATTATATCACAAAGAATTGTTCCCAAGAGTAGTACCTTTTAACTTTTCTATGTTCACATTGACATCACCTAACGTTTACTCTAACTAAAACAGATTTGTATTCTCTAGAAGCACATCTTTATTGGAAACACTTACATACAAATATTCGTTCAAACGCTTTTTTAAACTATCCGTCTTTTGGAGAAAAAAACGCATTAAAAAGAACAACATTGTAATGCGTTTCGAAAACATCCGTTTTTTCTAGAAAAAACGCATAAAAAAGAACAACATTATAACGCGTTTCGAAAAAAACTTGTTTTTCGATCAAACAAGGCTAAAAAAACGCATTTGAATGCAAAGCAGACAAACGCATCCAAACGCATAAAACGAAACACATTCAAACAGCGTTTTTAAGTTGCGTTTTAGTTTGGAAAAACGCGTTCAAAATAAAAAGGATGCATTTAAATGCGTTTGGGAAAGGACTCGATGCATTTAAACACGTTGAGCTTACAAAACGATGCGTTAAAACGCAAAAATAGCTTTTTTTTTTGTAAAAGTTTGCGTTGAAACGCATTTTTATACCAAATTTTTTTTCATGGGTTCTTCTTAACTTGTCAAACTTCTTCCTATTCGATTGTCTCAATAGTTCAAAGTTCAATTTATTACGTAAATCAAACATGACTGAAGAATGAAAACTGAACTGACATCGGTTCAACAAGATTCTTAAGAATACCTTAGATTGTTAATATCAAACCGGGATGTATATCATCAAATATAAAATTCTTCGTCATACGAAGACGAAGACATACTAACTGACGTTGATGATAGAATGAACGGCTAAGAAAATAGTTGTTTGATCACGGTTGTTTGCTTCTCTTTTATGTGTTCAAAAAAAAGAAAAGTGAAAAATTGTCTATTATTCAAAAGAAAATATTTGTATGATGAGATAGTATGGTCACGTGCTAAGCTATATTTAATCGTTAACAATGTTTTTACGAAAATATTTAAAAAAAAAACTAAGTGTTTTTTTATAAATATTAGATTATCGAATATGAGAAATAATCATAGAATAAACTTTAATGTATTTCTATAGAACTAATTGACGAGTTAAAGTCTGCATTCTTTAGAAAATCCAATCTATCAACAGACAGTCGAAATGGAGGTTTTTTTCTAAATAGATCTGGTGACGGTCTAAGTATGGGCATTTGCATTGTGCTTTTTGGATGAAATCTCAGCTCGTGCTTGTGCCTGTCGATGTGAGTATGAATATCGACGAAGAGAAGGCCTACAATCCAAAATGACTGTCATGTTTTATTTTCAAATGTAAATAATGTATCAATATTAAATAAACGAATTAAGAATAAGTAGAGAAATCTTCTTATCTGATTGATTCATAAAGACCTCTCACGTAAAGATATGAATAAAGTTGAAACTCAACCATATTCGAATCGTTCTTCAGTATTCATCAACTCTCTCCCTTTGTTTGCAACGGTCAATGATTTCATCGTTTCGATGAAATGGTGCCTTTTGACTCAGAGCAGATACTGAGTCATTATATAAATATTATCGTTTTGTCAATAATTGCAACATTGACTGTTCGTTCTTCAAAAATAATCGTTTCTTACTCGTCATAGGATTATTTGCACGTCTTACTTCCTCTCAGAGATTTCTTATAAAAGTGAATGGTCACTCGTATTATGTGCGTTTTTGCTATCGTTACAACTACATTCTTTTTCTTTTTCTTCCATTTGAAGTTTATTCTTGTAAAAATACCATGACGATTCGTACCGTATCATACAATATATAAGCACCTATTTTTGCTGAACGACCAACAATATATCAAAAATGTCAACCACAATTTCTTAAAACTGAATACCGATGGAGTTTAATTGAATCTCAATTGAAACAAGAAATGATTCTTCATAACAACACGGTTATTTGTCTTCAAGAAATATGTCTGAATTTCTTACCTAAGCTTGAATTATTTTTTCGTGAATTGAATTATGGTTTTTTTTTCATAATCTTTATGGTTCATAAAACAATGATTACCTTGGTATTGGTATAGCTATTTCATTATCAATGCAGTTAAAATCTATTTCGTATATCAAAGTTGGAGACTACTTACGGTCAATCAATAAACCTTGTGATAAAAAACATAACAGTCTCTTTACATGGGGTCACAGTCTGTGGCAATATTTACTCAGTAAATTCGTTGAACCCACAATGGATACATGGGAAATGGCTATTGCGACACTTAATACATTTATTTGTTTACAAGTTGTCATCCATGATAAAATCTTATATGTTGCTAACTATCATATGCCGTGTTTCTGCCAAATACCTGATCTCATGGAAATCCATTCGTCTGTTGTGAAAGATCTGATGTTTGAATTAGAAGCTGGTCACAACTTTATTTTAACTGGTGATTTCAACATCAAACCTATGAAAATCTGTTATCGAATTCTAACGGAAAAAGTTTCTGATGTTAATCTTCTACCAGAATCAAATATTTATGAAATATCTTATCGACCGAACACCGACCAAATATTGAAGAGTGTATATCGTGAAAAAAATGGAGTCGAACCTGTTTATACTAATGATAGAGATGTGCCTAAATCACCTCATTTCTGTGCTACACTTGACTATATCTTTTTTGAAGGTCATCTTACCGTAGAGAAAGTATTAGAATTACCGGATCAACCTATGAGTGAATCTTATCTAGATGAGACACATCCTTCGGATCATTTGCTAATCGCGACATCATTTCGATTATTATAGACATATATTATGTGACTTTCAAATAAAGCGCTAAGAATAAATTTATTCTTGTTCAAAGCATTCGAACTAATAGATCTTATTCAAATTGATATGTTAAAGATTCATAATATTCTTCGATAATGAGTTCAATATTAATGTCATTGACAAAAATCGATTATGAGTCATGATATAATATCAGAAACATTAGTCTTCATTAGAATAATACGATAAAAAATACTATCTTTATTTTTACTACATTTTAAATGAGAAATTCATTTTTCTTACGTCGTTTTGTCCTCTGCATGCAAAATAATAATTTTTTTTTTCTAAAATTAATATACATATTAAGTGATATCTATAAGGTTCTTAAACGTATAGTAAGATGCTATGCGTATGTAGATAAACATTTAGATTCCTTTAAACTTATGAATGCCATAATCAATTTTCTTAGATGTAGTCTAATGAGAATTTATTTTCCATTCGATTTTCACTACCCATCTATTTCTACATGTATGTTTTTACTGTAAATGTTGTTCAATAATCAACTCGTTTTCATGTTAAAATGAGAAACCATATTGCATAAATTATTTTTTTTGCTATAAGATCCATATGTGAAAGTAGTATCATGAATAAACAAGACAAACTTACAATTTAGGTAGTTAAGAAAATCTAAGTTTTCTTAGGACCTATACGGTTTAGCACACTTCGGATTCATACTGCAGTTGATAGAGAATATTTCGATATATCTTTAGAAATGCAAACCTCAAAATGGAAGAAAAAAAACTTTTTTGAACAAGGAAAGTAGAGAGATCTCTTGAAAATATCAACATTATCATTCAATATTTCACACTCAACTGTTACCTCTTTAACCCTATCGAAATTATATGCTTGTTTGAGAGATTCTACTCCTTCTCCCTATTTACTTGATGAACGATTCAACCAGTTTCATAATATTCATATTAAATTTGATTTTATTTAGACTTTGCATTGAACAATCAATCATCACGTAGACTAATATCGGCGCCAAAATATGTGTGTGTGTTGAGGGAAACCCATCCTTACTTTCACAACCCACACCCTGTCACCGATCTTTATCAAAAAAAAATCTTTCAAATCTCTCATGTCCATGGTCACAATTGGTTTGAGAAAAAAAAAAGATGATATATCAAAAGTATTACGTGCTCATAATCGTTTACTATCCACATTATGTCAATCATCTCATCGTTTTATTGAAAACGCTAAAGAAATTTTTAATACTTATGAACCAATCAGTGTTGAAACATTTACTTGTTCTTCCTTTGATATTCAAATACAATCGTTAATCTCAAGATTTATTTCTTAAGTCCTAGCTGAATATCGTCGTATGCTTTCATTCATAGTGAGTTCATTTAATGTTAATCAATTATTACATATTTTCAGAACTAATTGGCTCATTGATTTTACTGATGAAAATGAACACTATTTATTAAAAACATTTCCAAAAAATTTTTCATCATCAAATTGTAGTTGTGCAATATCATCAAGTTGTAATGAACCATTGACAGATGATATTGTTTAGTGATTGTTTCCTATATGATAGAATTCGTTTATCAAAATTTGAAAATTTTTCATGAGAAAAAATAAAATGATGAATTATTTGTAGAAACATGGACAAATACTAGTAATTATATAAATTATTTTCACATATGTGAACCATTAAAACGTCAATATATATTATTAAATAAAGATAATCTTATAATTATATTAATCAATCTTTCGGGTTTGTGCGAAGGTAAATAACAAAGAAATTCTATCAAGATTTCATTTACATACATTTAGTCTTAACATACAGTTGATGTTTGATTATTGGTCAATCATTACTTGCTTATTGATGGTGGATAAAACACGTAATTAATAAATCAGATACAAACGAATGTATCTGAAGCAGTGTTCTTGTGAAATTGTAATATTATACATATTTATTTTTTATTCTTCAATAAAACTATCATGCATCAGGGGCCGAAACTGAGTGAATATTTTATTTTTCTGAGTCTGATCTTGAGTTTTTTTTGTAGTCTATTTAATCTTCTATAAAATAGTGGCATTTTTCGGTCACATGATTTTTTCGACTACATATTACAAAAAAAGACACAAGAATATAGGCGGTGTAATTGTACTTTTCGGCAACATTAATATCCATACTCCGTCGCAAACAAACATACTATTGGTGTCAAGAGATGCACCGATATAATATTTTATCATTTGTATTTCATACCATTCTTACATTTTATCACTTGTATTTCATACCATTCTTACATTTTATCACTTGTATTTCATATTATCCTTACACTGTATCACCTTTATTTTATATCATCCTTACATTGTACACACTATCACATGTATGTAATGTCATCCTTACGTTATATTACTCTTGTTTCACACAATCTTTACAGTATATCACTTGTCATCCTTGAGCTGTATCACTCTAGTATAATGTCACCCTCATATCTATACATAGTACTGCTTGTAATGTTAAATATTTCTTCAATACCATTGTAATTGTTTCGTGATACACGATTCTTCGTTAGCACTTATGCAATCGCTGTATATATTCACATTGTTCTCTCTTCACGAGAAGGTGAACGCGAAGGAGAAAGAGAAGAGGGAAGAATATATTCAGTTGATGATAGCGAGCAGTGAGAGTATGATCGAACAACGATATACATAGGGGTGTATCACTTTGTAGGTAAAAAAAAAGAATCGTGTTGTTGAAATAAAAGAGCAAATGATAGCGATAAGTAACGAAAGTGTGCAGAAACAAATACAAAGTCAAGAACTTAGTGATTTCTATTATCATTATTTCCTTACACTATTTCGTTTCGTTTGTCGATAAAAAAGGATAATATTCATCGAAACCAATTTCACAAAAAGTTCACTTCAGACAAATGCCTTTGCACAGAGAGAATAATCAGCACAATTTTTTTCGCGTTAGAACTTTTCGACATTTTCTATTTTTGACGTTATATAATGTTACTCAAACAGAGTATCAATTGGTGAGGTTCGCTCTTAAGTGTAAACCAAGTCAGAGATATTGTAAAATATCAACGATAGAAATTAGAAAGTTCTTTCTCATTGAAAGGAATCATTAGGTTAATATATTTTTATCAAGCGTTTTGAAGTTGTTTTTGATTGATCACTTTATCTTTTAAATTAAAGAAAAAAATATATCAAAGTAAAAAAGTTAATTAAATGCAAGATTTATGTGTATGTATCAATATGTTTTCTTTTTCAGCTAAAAATCTTCTGTTGCACAATATAAATATTCAAGCACATCTTACAATATTGTAATCAATCATTTTTTTCCTGATCCTCATGATCTTGAATGTAGAAATGAAGAGAAGAAGATTTATGAAATTATGTTATACTAATAAAGCGACGAACAAAATTCAAAATTTTTGTATTCGATGCTGTAATATAGTTACTTGTTTACCATTTTCATAATGATATGAGTTAATACCATCTAACACACCGTGATGTTCAATGTCTAATAAATATGGGCATAATTCTACTAATGATTTTGGGATTTTTTTTTTTTTACTAGAGATTGAAATATTTTAAGTTGAATGATCAGTAATAACCGGTGAATTATAGTTTTCTGGTTTTTAGTCAATTCTAATTAGATGATTCAACGAAAAGTATAGGAGTCATACAAAAAATTTGGAATTAGTGCACCAGTAATCAGAGAGAATGTAAATTTTGTGAAACACGATCTGAAAGGAGTGTTGAAGTGTTTAGGGTAGAAATTTTGGCCCCCCCCCCCCCCACAGACCGTGACAGAGAAACTGTAGTTGTAAAGCATCAGGTATACGGTCAACTACAAATGTGTTGTAAGGAAATGGAACAAAAGGATTTCCATTTAATTAGTAACAATAGGTCCATCGTGTTTCACATTTTTAATCTCGCAAGGAATTGCGCTAACAGCTTTTTTTAGGGATATTTCAAACTGAATGTATGGGGTTTCAACGACAGAATAATGATTATAAACATCTATTACTACTGCTAGTGTCACAGGTATTGATTATAGATTAACAATTCAAGAATTATGAAATATGAATTATCCTTTAAAACGTTGATTAAAGCTTTCAAACAGCAAAACATGTAATAATCATATTTATTTTATTGCTTATTACCTTCTTTCGAGCAGAAAAATAAATATTTTTGTATAAATAGCTTTTTCAAGAGACTTCGTATCATACTTCAATATTCTGTATTTTGTTGTCATGCATATATAAATAATATTTTTTATCTGTCACGCTTGATCAATAAGTATAATTTTCTCTCAGTGTTTTTTTTCGTTCTACTATTGTATTTGTGAAGTTTGATGATGATAAACAATGTATACTATCAGATGCTACTTATTACTTTTATATTTTGTGATGCACAATTGGATGATAAATTGTTCGATAGTATAACATGTAAGTAAATAGTTGAAAACAACAATTTTGTAGAAATAACTAAGAAATAGATCCAAATTAAAAAGGTACGATCGAAAATGGTTGTGCAAGACTATCGTATGCAATCGTTCTTTAGTTGAGATGTATATAGATCGCAGATTTTATATTCTTTAAATCTGGCATCAAATTCAATAATCACTATCAATTAAAAGAAAAGTAAATCATGCCTTTGTTTCCTTCAGACATTTTCTTACATTACATTCATTAGTAAGGATTTTTATTTAAACAAAATCGAAACTGTATATTTCTATCCATATTTTTCTAAACAACAGGTTCTATCGTACATATTTATTGAATTAAATAAACTAAATTTTTCTTAGGATTTATTACAAAGACAAGTCCATTTATAAATGTCTATTAAAAAGACATGATATAGGATGTATTTACTAACTTAAATTATATTTTTTCTTATTAAGAATTGCTTTAATAACGAATCCATTGATAAGTATTGTTTTTCTTTTCAGAAAATTAAACTCATACTTTTTTTTGTGTGTAGATTTATTCCAGCAACAGATCCAATGGTTAGTAGTTATTTTAAAAAATTAGTTCTTTTTTTATTTAGATTCATAGAAGCAATAGTTTTAATTATAAGTATTCGTTTACGAAATTAAGTTTTTATTTTTGTTCTTTTGTTTAGATTCATTTCAATGTCATATCCAATCGTAAGTATTTGTTTTATAAATTAAGCAGTAATTTTAAAATAGACTACTGTTTAATCTATTAAATAAATATTTAAGTAATGGACCTGCATGTTGATATAGAAGTAAATAAAAAACAATAATTCTTTTCTCTTTTGTTTTCTAGAAAGGTACAATTATTTTCACTTTCTCTCGCTTTTTTGAATAACTTTCGAAAGAATTCGATTTTTCAAATATCTTAAAACAAAGATTAAAACGCACATTGACAAATTGTAACTAATCCATAGAGATTACTAGATGCACAAAACTTGTTTTATTATTTCTTTTATGTTCTTACTATGGAACGAAACACGTGGCTTGGTTTTGTTTAATAAAACTACTTTTTTTGTCTGCGAATCTTTTCTAGAATCTAACATTTCTAATATTGACGAAAATATTTATCATTTCATTTGTTTTTTTTTAGATATTGTTCATAGCTATTTGAACAAGAAAACAGATTCTTGTGGTTTGTGTTTCATTACGAAAAGGTGTTTTGTCCATTGGCATGGCAGAGAATGTTAGCTATTTCGATGAGAAAATAGAAGCTTTACCATTACTTCAAAAGAATTCACAAGCATTGATTGACGACAACGACAAGACAGTATCACCTATAATAGAAAATACTCAACCAACTTTATTTGACGAAGAATCTCCATATGAAATAGTAGCAATCAATGTGTCGAATCAAGACGATCCAACACTTCCTTGTCTCACATTTCGTTCATGTATTCTTGGTCTTCTATTTACTTGTATTCTCTCGTTTGTCAATCAATTTTTTGCTTTGCGCACAAGGCCTATTGTTCTCGGTATGATAGTTGCTCAACTGCTCGCCTATCCCATGGGTAAAGCACTGGCCTTACTACTACCTAGTCGAACATTTATAATGTTCAATGGAAGATGGAAATTCTCATTGAATCCAGGTCCCTTCTCAATCAAAGAACATTGTATTATTTCGACAATGGCAAGTACAGCGGCTGTAAGTTTTCAAATAAGATTCTAAGATTTTGATCGGAGAAGGGAATATGTGCAGATTTGTAAAGGAAGGTTTCCTAGAACGAGTGGTGTATGTATTATAAAATTCTATTGCATTCCGCTGAGATATCATCAGAGAACACAATTTTCATTGTATTCTACTGTGATGACCACTCAAATAGTGTCCTATATTGATATTTCAACGGTACACAATAGAACTTGAAAGTATACATAGACCATTAGATGGAGAAGATTTTTCTCTACAAATCAACACACATTCTGTTTTTCTTTCAAAAATTACTATGAAGTTTATAGTTACCTTTATTAATCATTGTATCTTCAATCAAAACTCATAGGCTACATCATACGCCACTGAAATTGTAGTCCTGCAACGTGTTTTCTACAGTCATCCAATGAACTATATACTTAGTATACTTTTTGTTGTATCTTCTCATATGCTCGGTTATGGCTTGGCAGGTATTGTGCGAAAATTTGTTGTATGGCCAGCAGCAATGATTTGGCCAGGTGATCTTGTTTGTTGTGCTCTCTATCGTGTTTTCCACAATGATGCCAAAGATGATAAACAAAACTGCGAAAAGAATATGGCCACATCAGATCGACGGATGTCTCGTTTCCATTTTTTCTTGTTAATTTTTTTCTTGCAATTTTTATGGTATTGGATTCCCGGTTATATTTGTCCTATTCTATCCGTTCTCTCCTTGTTCTGCTTAATCGATCCGACCAATATTGTGCTTTCTCAAGTTACTGGAGTTAACGGACTTGGACTAGGCTCTTTAGAATTGGATTGGAATGCTTGGGTAGCATTTTTGCAGTCACCCATCGTTATTCCTTTCTGGTATGATGATATGATCAACTATCAGATAAATAAACATTCGGTTATTGTTTAGGGCTCAATTGAATATTTTTATCGGATTTGTCATTCTTGTATGGATTATTACACCAACTGCTTATTATAACAATTTGTGGAATTCGAAAGCAATGCCCATTGTTTCAAATCGAGTCTTTACTGTCGAAGGCTATTATTATAATGTTAATGCTGTACTTGATTCTCGCTTGCATTTAAACGAAACAGCATATAATCTTTATGGTTCTAATTTTTTTTCATGTTCAACTATTTTCGATAATCTGTTTATTTCAGGTCCACTGCGTATTACAGCTCTATTTGCTTTCAAATATGGAATTCAATTTGCTGCAGTTACTTGCACTCTTGTTTACACTTTTCTTAATGATGGTAATTGAACAGATCCTGCATGCTCAATAAGAAATGTATTCTTGTATCTTTTGACTGTTGAAGGTAAAACTATCATCAATCAATTACGTTCATCGATATCCAATGTCAACAATGATATTCATGCTAAACTGATGGCTCAATATAAGGAGGCACCCGAATGGTGGTATGTATGAAACGAATTTGTCAATAGTTTTATCTGAAGTCAGTTCTTTACTTTTATCTATAGGTATATAATTGTATTTCTTGTTGCTTTTATCATTGCACTTATCGTTTGCCAAATTGGTGAACTCATGCCTTGGTATATGCTTTTTCGTATGTTTGAATTTAAGTTTGATTTTTTTTTCGTTTGTGAAGATCATATGAGTTTTCTAGTTGCCGTAATCATTGCATTCGTTTTTCTTCTACCCAATGCTATCATGAGAGCAATAACTGGTGTAATGCTAGGTAAATACACTCGTTAGTAATGTTCTCTTCATCACATCAACTAATTCTAGGACTTAGTATCATTGCTGAATGCATAGCCAGTTTAATTATGCCTGGTGATCCAATGGCGATTTTGACGTTCAAAATATATGCATCTATAACGGAAGGTCAAGCGATATATTTTCTTGGCGATTTAAAAATTGGACATTATATAAAAGTGAGATTCATTGAGTATGAAAGCAAAAATATGTAAACAATATCATTTATGTGTTTCTTTCAGATTCCTCCTCGTGTCATGTTTACTACACAGATCGTTGCCACTGTTGTTGCTTGTGTTGTGCACGTATGGACTGCTATATATCTCATAAATACAGTTCCACATATTTGTACATCGAAAAATATCCAATGGACGTGCCCAATAGTGACTACTGTCTATTCCGAATCAATCATATGGGGTGCTGTAGGTAATTAAAATTTATCTCAATTCTTTGAGATGGATTCCTGAAAGTAAGAAAATTCTAGTCTATTGAGACATTTGTTTGACATACTCTATTGTCAAAAAATGATTGTTGGGTATTCTTATATAAAATCATTTTGATATTCAAAGAAGAGATGTTTTCAAAATTTGATAAGATATTATTTTAGCTTTAAAAAGGTATTGAAATAAATTTTTAACATTATAATATTCAGACACATACTGTGTCAGTTATCATTCATGTTCATTTTTGTTAAAAAGTTTTGTTCTCTTATCGTCTATCACTATCGAACTTTAAGCAAATACGTCTTTATTATTGATCATTTGCCGCTTGTGGTTCAAAATTAACAAATGTAAATGATCAATATAATGAGTACATCATCAAAGATCTATGGTATCTCATAGTATGAGTTTCTCGTAAAGAGGTGGTACTTAGTACAATCAAATACTTTTTGGTATTAAAATTTCGCTAATAAATACGAAGATAATCATCAACTTTCTTGGCCTTTTTAAGGGATTCTGTTGAACCTAAAAAACAGTTGATAAAACTTGACTGAGATTTTTTTTTGGCTTTTTAATTCTGTATTCAATCTTGAAGTTTCTCCTTCTGGACATAGGTCGTTAATATATCTGTTTTATAGAGTTTTTGTTAAGCTCTATTACTAGTATATACGATATTGGACATCATTTTTCGGATGATTTTGCTTGATGTACAACTTTCTTATAAAGTTAGCCTTTTGAGATGCGTCTTGTGTCAAAATTATAGGTTGTGTCTATGGTATATCTATAAAAAATTTTGAAAGAGTATCTGACACTGCATGTTTTTCAGAAACCTGCCTCGCAAAATCCAAAATCAAATTTTCAGATATAAATATTTGGAAAGAAAAACTACTCATGACATAAAAATGATGAAGAATTCATATGAGCATTATCAGCTGTCAATCATAAGATAAGTAGTTATTTCAGATTTTTCTAGTAATGATAGAAATTCTTTTTAATTTGACATTTTTGATCTCTATTCCTATTTAAAATAATTATTTAACACAACTGAAAAGCATCTCAATTCGTAAAAGGATACTATGGTCGACTGCCAGATAAACTGAGCTAAAATGTGCAAATTTTACGTTAGATCTTCTGTTGTACAGTTTCTTATTATCTAACTATTTTCAACGTTGTATGATACTATTAGTGGGCAAAGTCTTGAAGAAAGAACACAAATTTTTCTAATATTTTTCAATGAAACCATGAATTGAAAATTGTTAGTCATTGGAATTTTATGAAAGTCGGCTAGAAGTAGTTCAGAAATTTGAATTTGGGATTATGAGATGAAAGATCTTTAGATTGAAGTAAATTTCACTTATAATACCTAGTTAACTTTTTGTAAACATAATAAATTCATTCAGCATGATACGAGGCTCTCATCCTAAGCTTAGAATGTGTTAACTCAACATTTAGAGCTGAAATTTCGACAACGACTCGAAACTTTTCAGCTAGAGACTTTCAACATCATATCTCATGATCCTTAAAACTCTAGCAATTGTTCAGAATGAACATAATAGACAAGTATTAGTGTCTCAAAAAGTCAATAAAAAAACTGACATATAAGTAGTAGTAACAGTTGACCGGCTTTTAAACTTCAATCATAGTAAACCAGTAATCTATACACCTAGCAGTTCAGTTCCGAGTATACTGTATGATAGTTTTTGCGTGGCCACGACTAACTTGGCGATTTAAATAATAGATTGCTTTCTTGATTGTATAGATTGATTATGAATACGCGAGCTCCTTGAAGTAATGAAACAGACATATATTATGAGTTTTTATAATTTTTCTCATGTACATATCCAAGAGTTGTTTCAAGAGAGATTCATTTATTCTACAATTTTTATTAAAATTTTGACAATAACTGAAACTTTGATTTCCCATTTTTATCGTAGGTCTTAAAAAAGTGTTCGGCTTCCAATCTATTTATTGGCCACTGCTGTTTGGCTTTCTGATCGGTGCGCTCTTACCAGTACCCGTTTGGTACCTACGTATGAAGTATCCAAAAGTGAAATGGCTTCAATACGTGCATCTTCCTGTCATTCTTGTTGGTACTAGTAGAATACCACCAGCACCAGCTGGCGAATATTCAGCATGGTTCATCGTTGGCTTTTTATTCAATTTTGTAATTCGTCGTTACGCCCATGCATGGTGGAAAAGGTACGCGTTTATATTTTCGGCAGCAATGAGCTGTGGTGTGGTTGTGTCTGCACTCACTATCTTTTTTGCTCTGACAAACAATAATATTTATTTTCCGGCATGGTGGGGAACTGGTGGAATCACCGGTGATGGCTGTCCATTGGCAAGTGCAAACTTTTCTGGCATCATACCACATTACAAACCTTCACTTTAACTAGTTCGCATTTTTTTGCATCTTTATTTCGACTTTAGAACGATAATAAATTAGTTTCAGTCACCTGTTTATCCTCAAATAAATTTAAGCGACGTTAGAAAAAGTTTGTCAGTGTGCAGTCGTTTTGAGACTGACATATAGAATTCGCACATGCTCTTTAGCCTCGCGAAAGATATTCAACATATATAAAGTAAAAAATTTCTTGTCGTCTATAGTTGTTATTCAAGATAATCAACTACTGGAATAACGATCCATCTTATTTATTTCTGAATATAAAACAAAATTTTTCTTCAATTTTGCACGAACACTCAATTTATTGCTTGCATCTTTGCTATTCACTTGTTATTTTTCACTTTCGTATTTTGTTTTTCGCAATATAACATAGTTATCATTATTAACATCGAATTAAATGAAAAATAAGATTGTTGTAAATATATATTATATCTACAGTAGATCTTTATGGGTATTCTGATTGTTTTGACTTTGACTGGAAAATCCTGGTATTGTTCTGATTTATTGATGAAGAACTTTTCTTTTAGTGTGGTTATGATGTTGTGTACAATGCTAGACGATGATTTTTTTCTCTACTGTTGAAGAAAAATTTCGTAAAAAAATCCAAATAGTATTTCTCCTCTTTTCCAAGACTTTAGCTTTGTAAACCAGATTCTTAAAGGATTGTTTTGTATCGACTATTTTTTTTCTCAGATGAATCAATTGCGGAGTAGAATTTTTGAGCTCATTTCGGCGTCGAATATAATATATGATTTCATCGTGTATGACGATATTGAAGAAACGATATAATGGCATTTCTTTTACGTTCACTCGAAGTGTAGCATAAAAGTGTAGAGTGTTATAGCTGTCTTTGGTAGTGAAAGACGTTAATTGTACTACTGTCTATATCGAACAAATGTTGAAATTTTAATATGACCGTTCTTTAGTTACAAAAGAGTGCTTTCATAGATGCAGCGATTTTTTTTGGCTACTTGAAAATATTTAAAGCGAATGATAGTGTGAGAAAAAAAGTGAGGAAAAGTTTTTTTTATCTGTACGTGAAAAAAATTCTCACTTCTCATTGGCTTTAGATATCAGATCGACCGTAACTTAACAATTTAACCTTCTTCGAGAAGGTGTGGGTGTGGGTGGGTGTGGGTGTGGGTTGGTGTGGGTAGTGTTGATGTGGATGTGGGTGGGGTGTGGATGGGTGGGGTGTGGGTGTAGACAAGAATCTACTCTTCATCCATATTCACACCCACACCCCACACCCCACACCCCACACCCACACCTCACACTCACAGCCACACTCACCCATACCCACAGCCACACCCACCCACGATAAACATAAATCAGAACAGATGTTTATGAATCATACATCTTTGTTGACGAATCGCTGATTTTCACCAACATAAAAAAGCCTCCATTTTCTATCACACTAATCTTATCGAATAATCTCTAATCCAATCGAAACATCCTTCGCTTACACATGATACTACGATTAACAAACTCTTCTTCACAGAATTTGTAGTGAAAGAAGCTAAACATATATCAACCTATAGCTAATAAACATTTATATATAAATGTTTTAAACATTTGTTTCCTCCAGAATCAAAAGTGGGAGAAAACTAATTAATGCATGTTGGAGAGCAAATTCTCCTCTATCGAATTGATTAGTTCCTTATTTTATACCATTTGATTTTTTAATTTAATTCTGAATCTTT